ATTTTTTAAAATTTCCTTGTCTCTTTAACTCTTAGCTTAGCTGATCGCTTTTCCATTCGTTCTCCCTTCCCTTATGAGCTAATCTATCAATCAAAGGGTGATTTTAAAAAACTGAAAAATTTTTTGCATCAAACCAATTGGAACTAATTCTTTTTATTGGTCAAAGATATTCCCCTATTAGAAGCAATCCAATTAGAGGCATAGTCGAACACTAAATACGAGCACCTCTCTTAGCGAGAATTCAAACCTTAGTTTGCCATATTGTGAGAGATTAGTCCCCTTTCGCTAGACCCAACTTCCATTGGTAATTGGAACTAATTTTCTTAATCTTGTGAAAATTGTTAATAGGGTCATTTAAAACAAAGGGGAAGGAATATTGAAATTCAAATTTTGAATTCTAACTTATTCAACTCTCCAATGACTTCAATAGTGAGAACAGCATTGGAATTGTGACATTATGGAAGGCCACCCCTTCAACCATGATTTCTACGCCTATATATATATATATATAAAGAAAACCAATAGCCTTGTGGCCTTGTGGCATAAAAGTCCCCTTATAAATGAGAAGTCGCAAGTTTGATCTCATTTAAAACTTTAATCTATGTTAGCATCATCGTTTCTATGACAAAGCATAGTGATAACGTGCAATTCATGCATAAGGCTGACCCTACCTAACGGGATAAGATTTATTGTTATTGTTATGACATCTTCCCTTCTATATATACATATATAAGAGCAAATAGCCCTAAGCAAGAAGGTTACCAAAGCCCTTCCAACAAGTTAAGGTTGCTAGATTTTACCAATAACAAACTCTTGGTCAAGTCTGTATTTTATGGTGTCATATGACTTTTGTAGTCGTCTATTTACTTGTGCTTTAATATTTTATATTGTTAATTGTTAATCAATGATGTTCTAAAATACTCAAAATGATATTCAACCTATATAAAGGTTGTGTCTTTTTGTGTGCGTTTTCGAAAAAGAGTGCTTTATACTCATGCGTAGTAATGCTCCATTTAGGGATATTATGAAATGATGCATACTTGCATACGCCAACAAAACACACACACTCACTCCCTCTATTATGAAATTATCGATGTTTTAGACTTTGTTTTGTTTCATGAAAACTTTTGTCTTAGAAATTCAATGCCAAGTCATCGTCTTCCCCATCAACTATACTCTCATTTAATAATTCTCTCTATTTCCCTATGAGATCTCCCTCTCTTCACCAGCCAATGTATAGTAATATGTCACAATAATTAACAATTTTTTAATCTGTGTGTCCATATCCTTAATATGGAATTCATCAATAGATTTAGAGTCATTTGGATAAAATAATTAATGCATGATGCATACCAAAATCAATAAAAATTGCAAGTGTACAGGCATAAATGTAGCTAATGGTAATTAAATCAAGGGTTGTTCCTACAGAGGATCAAGTTAAATGGCATATATGCAATAAAATCCCAATTTTCTCCAAGTTAAGCAAGACAAATATAGTAATTAATGCTTAAATTAGAAGTAAAGATTGAAAAAGTAGGCAACTAAGATATTGAAGCACTCTAAATTCAAGAAAACAAAAAAGAAAGGAACCCTAGGGTTCTAATCTCTCATCTGCTCAATTGTGATAGGGCCACTTTATACATAGATTATAATAGGCTTTTGACTCTCAAATTGAATAATCATGGCTTATAATATATTGCTTCACTAAGTATTCATTGCTAGAAAAATACAAATTAGTGAGAGAATTTAGTAAGGGATCATCTATTTCTCTTTAAAATACCAAATTAGCAAGGAAATTAATGATGGATGTTGATTTAGTAGCTTGACTTAAAATTATCAAGGAAAATAGCGAGGGACAATTAATTTCTCTCTAAAATAAGAGAATTAGTGAGGAAAATAGCGAGGGACTACCAATCCCTCTATAAAATAAAAGAATTAGCGAGAAAAATAGTAAGAAATTGCTAATCTCTCTCTAAAATAAGATAATTAATGAGAGATTTAGAAAGGGATTATGTCCCTAGCTAATTACTGTAAAAAAAATTTAACTTTTGATAATGACTTTTAATTTTATATTTCATTATTTTCATTTAAAAATTAACTAAAATATTCATAATAAAATTATTTAATATTTTCTATATTTTAAGTTGATTTTCATTAATAGAATAATATTTTATTAAAAATATAATATAAATAATAATTTAAATAAAATATAAATATTTTTAACATATTAATAATTGAAAATAAAATTTAATATGTATGTATGTGTGTATTTTTATAATATATTATTTGATATATTTATGTAGTTGAATAATATATATTTAATTTATCATATAATGACTGCAGATGCCTTTTAATTCAACTGGCAAAGAAGAAGAATATAAGACTTGGAAGGTATGAGGTCAAGGGTTCAAGTCCTGACTTTGGCATAAACATAATGAATATATGACATGGTGAGAAGCAAGTGACATGATGCAAGGTGGACAATAACATGTCATGAGTTATCGCACATGTGGCGAGTGATCGGGCACGAGATGGAAGGTGACATGGCGGTTGACAAGACACGAAATTGTTGGTGACATGTTACAAGTTGATGCACACATGGCGGGTAATGTAGCATTACTATTTTTAAATATAGGCATATTTAATGAGGAACTAATCCCTCGCTAAAGCTATCAAATTTTGAATAGTATTAGCAAAAAATTCAATCCCTAGCTAATTTTAGCGAGGGATTGAAATCTCTCACTAAATTCTTCGCTAATTAGTAAGGGAAATATGATTCTTTACTAAATTTAGTTAGCCTTTTTTTAGCTACGAACTTAGTGAGGGACTTTGATACAATTTAGCTAAGGAAAATAGCATTTAGCGAGGGATTAGTCCCTTAGTAAATTTTATTTTTCTAGTAGTGATTTCATGTAAATTGCAAAGAAAGGAAGCAAAAAGAAGCCAAAAACATATCAGCAGGCAAGAATCATCGCTTCTATTTATGACCACCGCCAGACATAGCTAGTGCAACGTACCATCGCTGATGAACATACCCCCTTACAAGAACCTGTGGTTTCTTTTCGAAACCCGTCATGGATGAAGGCAATGGGGAAGTTATCCATCGTTGGATGTGACATGTTCTCTCCTCTTGCACACCCACAAATGACTCGATGGATGAGGGCCCTTTATGCTTTGACCATAAGCGGCAAGAACAAAAAGGGCTTGACTGTCCATGGATGTCACTCAGAAACGAAAGTCAGCAACTGATGAAATAATCAAATGAAATATATCAATTACATCATAAATGAAGGCTTGGGCCAAATGGGCTTTTGGGGCTTTAGGGTGTGAAAAGTTATAAAAGCAACCTTGAGGAGCCTCTCTCATAACAATCCAATTTCATATTTGAGAGCTAAGAGACATGAATGATGTACAGAGGAGTTCTTATGAGCTAGGAGTCTTTCACTGTTCTCTTTCCTTTGTATTTTTTTTATGTCTTTTATTGGGGATTTTTGTATTGACTATGAGTTCTTTCTAAGCCCCTCTTAAGGTAGGGAGTAGTGCCTTGCAGGGATAGGTTTGCTCTCATAATTTGGTTTAGTTATTTTCTTGTTAAACATGAATTTTTGTCTTGGAGAATTTATGGTTTATATTTATATTTATCTTTCTTGATTTATTTGCCTTTTTATATAGATGTTAACCTCTAGAATTTCTTGTCACCGGAGCACATTTTCCTTAAATTTTAATATATTTTGGCACAATTGTACATATTTTGAAAACTCAAGTTAGGAAGTTGTGTGTATTATTTTGGAAATTCACACCATGGCTCTATTTTGGTATTTTCAAGCTAATTTATTGATATTTTGGTTTAAGGTTATGATGGGCCATCTTTGGGCATTAAATGATGCTTCGGAAGATATTAAGATGAAGAAATATGATGCAAAGTTCAACAATCAAGCCAAATGGAAGAAATGTGCAAAACAAAGAAAAGTTGTGACCATTAATCGAGATTTTTGACATTGTTTAAAAAAGATGCATTTTTAAGCGATAAAGTTAGGTTTTGGAGTATATAAAGGCCATTTTTTGCCAAGGTTGTCATTCTTCAAAGTTTGAGCCACCATTTGGAGCTTTGTGTGCTCGAGTTTGAGCATTGAAAGAGTTGAGATTAAGAGATTAAAGTCTTGAAGACATTTGGAGCTTCTTTTTTTTTATTTTTCTATTCCTCTTCCCTTTACTGTATTATATTATGATGTGGGTCCAAATATTTTATGTATTCATATCTTTTGGATGATTATGTGTAGCTAAATGTACACTTTTCTCAAAGATTGTTTTGAACCCTTGTATAGATTAACACTAATTTTCTCCTCTCTTTTTTGTGATTAATGATATATAAATGTTTATTTTAATCTTCTCTTAATGCTTTTAAGTATTTAGCCACTTTTTAGTTGATTTGTTCACTTGAGTGATGCTTGAGAGGGCTAGCTTGAGTGTAGAACTTAAATAAAATAGTGCAAGAATGTAAATTTTGCATGATGAATGAATGGTTTTGTTAGTAAGATAGAGATATGCTTATTAACCTTGCATAACCACATTAGGGTTGGAGTTTAAAATTGAATTTTATTAATTATATCAATAGATTGAACAATTAATTTACTATGCACTCACTGTTACAAAAAAAAACCCTCCAAATTGCTTATTTTTGCCTATGGGAGTGCTTCTATAGCTACCACTCCGGAATATATGAGAGCGCTTTTGAAGCGCTCCTATAAGGTAGCATAAGGGAGCATTTTGAGAGAAAGCACTCTCGTAGACATTCTAAAGTTGAGATCTGTGAAGACCTACAAGAGCGCTCACTTGAGGAAGCGCTCCTGTAGACTAGGGTTACAGGATTACTTTTTAATAAAAGCACTTCCGTATGTATATTTTTTTAAAAAATAAAAATTTCCTCTTTCACACCCTCTTCATTATTTTCACAATTCAAATCTAAAAATAATAAATTTCACAAGACTCAATTTTTATCATCACAATCAAATAAATTCAATATAATAAATTGCCATTCAATATTTTTATCACAATACAATTCAAACTTGGAAGTAGCTAGATCTTGTACATATCAATATACAAAATCTTCTAACTTTGGATTAAAACTGCTATAATCAACATTACTCTCTGTCATTCTTCTAATATCATTGACTTGTATGAATTCAACAGCTACTACATCACCATCATTTGGCTTGATAGCATTGAGAGATTACAACTGAAATCTATAACAAGTATGATACTGAAATTAATGGAACAGAATGAACAGAGATGAAGAATAAGAGAAGGTGGGAGACATGTAGTAATTTCTAATATTAGAAATACAACAAACAGAAGCAACAAATAGCCAATATTTACCTCTTGGATAATGCTAAATACATCCTTCACGACAAGCTCACCCTACAATTATGAACTCCATAAGCATATAATCAGAACATTTGCTAATCCGAGCATGTAGCTTATTTTCTTTTCAAATGAAAGAAAGTTATGTACAACAAAAGGATATGAATTATTTAAACAATGGAATACTTGCAATGCATCATCTTTCTCAATGCATTTTTCTAACCTAGCTACAGCAATAGTTGGCCCTTACCCTTTTAGTAAACCATGAAAATAACAATCGTCCTAACCAAAGTTATAGACATATAGTCTACAAAAAAAAAAAAAAAACCGATATAAACATATACAGTCTAGTACTCAATGACATGATTATTTCGATATCGAAGTCCACATTTTAAGTATTCATGTAATCCATGTGAATTAATTCTATTTCTTTAACCAAAAAAAAAAATCAGCTTCATCTTTAACAAGTAGATCTTATTATTACTATTATTATTATTATTTTCAGAAACTGCATTTTGGATGCCAAGAACACTTTGGAAATGCCAGATGTGTAAACAACAGTGATAAGATTCATTGACTGTACAAAAGAGGAAGAGAAAATAAAAGGGGTATACCAATATCGAAAACCAAAACTACAAATAATTTCTGGCTATTATTATATATTGCTTAAACAAGATAAACATGTCCATTCAATAAAGTCCAGCCCAAAATACAAAAAATGGTTTGAGAGTTGTAAGCTGCACCTTGAATTTGTATTGGGTCAACAATGCATCACCAAAATTAGGATTGAAACAAAGGGGAAGAGCCTCATTTGAAGCCTTTGAAAATGCAACCGGTGTCTGACTTGAAACGCCATGTTATGCAGCTTAATTCAAAATAAACTAACTGCATTTGTAACAAATTATTACATCAAAAATAAGATATGAGTAATGAGCTTATTTAATTAGGTGCTATAATAAAATAAGACAAGACATGACAATTAAATGTTCATTTAATAAATTAAACTCCTCCACTAGATCGGAGAATTTAGATTTCAATCCAACTTCTTGTCTCCCTCCTTAGAATCTCTTTTGTCACGTGTCCCACTACTAAGAAGCTGAAAACAAATATATGACCTCAAATATATAATATATATTATAAAGAATATCATCTCTTGATAAGCAAATGAAGTAGAACCTTCGAATCTGACAAATAAAAATGCAAATACATTAATCCCAAAAATAAAATTACAGAACACTAAAAATAAATCAAGGAGGCAAGATGGATGAGCATCGATAAACTTCAGTAACAAGGCAGTTTTCAGAGCATAGCATCCTTAAAAGTTACGTATGGGGTATTTGCATTATATAAACAAGTGATTATCACTTCAAGACTTGCAACAATTAATTTCTTACTCGACTTTACTAAAAGCTGCTGCAGAAAAACAAGGAAATTAATGAATATTATAATGGACTCTCAACTCAACGGCAATAATGAGTATAGTGATAGAGTATATTCACTATGCTCCAAAAAAAGACAATCTTTAAGAGAAACTATAACAGAGATTGCCCAGGCAGCGTAGGCGTCTGAAGACCCCCAGCTTTTACACCTGTTGCAGCTCCGTGACCTCAATCACAAGATTGTTGCCACTTGCCACTTGTCACTCTTCTGTTTTTTTATCCCCATTTTCTAAAAAATCATGCCTCTCTAATCAAATACGAAGAGATGAAATCGACCAATTTTACCCTCTGATATCAACTTAAACGAAACTCAAAGAAAGATATAAGAAATATTTACCACGAGACAGGGATCTGGAAGGCTCGGGGGGTTTGGCAGCAAAGAAGCCCAAGGTCTTGAAATCGAATAACAAATCATCATTAAGATACAACTCATAGATATCAGATTCATCCTGTAAAATAAATTTAGATCTGAAGAGTGAAGAAGACAAGAACACAAATGCATGACTTAGCTCTGTAAATGCATAAGAAGAACGCCAGTTGAGTGGAGAAGACAGGGCTGAGTGGAGAAGACACGACGCGATGATGCTTAGTAGATGAAGAGACGATAAATCGCGTGATGCTGTCATATGTATGAGACGCACAATGCTGCTAAATGGATCATCAACGGCGGCACAGCGGGCTATACTGACGATTGACGGCGGTGCAATGAGCTGGTGTGGTGGTCATCGGCAAGGGTCTCGACCTCAGGTCTCTAGTTTTTCAAAGAAGGTAGGGGGTTGGGCTTACGGGATCTGATATGTGATAAGAGGGGGTTTTTTATCTATTTTTATTTTTTTTTTAAATAAAGACAATTCGGGGCACTTTAAGACAAAGCGCTATTGGAGCGCTTCCTCTTTAAGCGCTCCATATCATTGTTTCTTTCCTACAATTTATAAGAGCACTTTAAAAAAAAAAGTGCTTCAATAAGGACATATTTTTTAAAAAAAATTAATAAACATTTTTTGGAGAGCTATTTTTATAAGTGCTAGCAAAGGTTCACTATTTCAGAGCGCTTGTACATGAAAATGCTCCTATATGTTCCGCATATGTTTTTAGTAGCGTTTTTTTTTTCTTTTTTTAGGCACTCCAGAATGGGCACTCCCTAATGGCTTTTTTGTAGTAGTGATTTATTCATGACTTAAGAGAGCTTATTTAAGTATTTTTAGTAGCGACAAATGTCACAACCAAAACCTTTAAAAAAAAAATACTCCTTCCATCCCAAGTTATAAAATACTTTTAGGTAAGATTTACATCCCAAAATATAAGACACTTTGAGAAGATTAAAGTTTCATTAAATAGGCTTATTCCAATACTACCTGTTCTCTATATTTAATACTAATTAAGTGTAAATTTAAGGTTATTAAATGAAGGGTATTTTTGAAAGTTTATTTTTTTGTTTTGAAAAGAATAAAGTTGTTAAGTGTATTTAATAAGGTTTATTGGTATGTAAAATTTTTATCACGCCTCAAAATTTGAGCATGACCGGCATGGGATATATGTATAACCACACATCCCTCAAGCCTAAAATTTTTGCACTATCTCCTCTATAACTAAGACTTTCCAAATATTCTACAATTACTATTTAAAAAAATACCATAACAACCAGGAGCTTGCTACTTTCAGCCCCTAGACAAAGTATATGACGATAATAATACCTTAACCATAGCCTATCTGGAATACCTAACCATATTTCCAAAGCAAAATACATAAATTCTACACTAACATCAAAAAGGAAACAATTTCAATTAGATCTCCACCTGGCTCAAATATAAGACCTTCAGAACTCAACAAGTGATTCAGCATCATCAAATGAATTTAAGATCAAAAATAATTTTCTAGTGAATAATGTTCCAATCTAAAGTTAAAATAAGTAATGGAAAATATATCAATAAGTTAATTATAAACTTAATATCATAGTTAGTTGAAATAATGTAACAACATACCTCATATATCATCAATTCTGCAAACAGAAAGACAAGGAATATATGAACTCAAATAGAAATGATTAGAAAGTCAAGTTCTAGTTTTAACTTCGATATATGTTTAAACAATTTGAGAATTATGAAGCTAAAACAAAATAAAACAAAAAAAAAATAATAGTTTGTTTTACGAGATCAATATAAAAAAATAAGCTTCAAAACTCTAGTAGGACTTTATCAGAATGATTAATAAGTGTAGACACATAGTCCACGAGGGTAAGTAACCAAGTGCAGCTTAAAGCCATGAAACAAGCACGAGCATAAAGCCCACAAAATCAAGTGCAGGCACAAGGTCCAAAAAAAAGCAAGCGTGAGTACTGTGCTCACCAATAAACATCCCTCCATTCTATGTGTGTTGGCCATCGCATGAGGCTAGCATCTCCTAAGAACCCTGCTAGCTAGGTCTATCATGGTATGCCAAGGGTTAACAGTACCACCATTAGCAACCAGCGTTCTGATTCAGTCCCACATTTTAAATCAAGCACACATGGGTTGATAAAACTAATATTTTAATAGCTAAGGAAAAAAAAAAAAAAAATAATAATAATAATAATAATAATAATATATTTATAAGTTGGTGTTTAATAGTGGTTATATTAATTAGAAATATATGTAGTAAGGAGAAGTGTGGTTCAATGGAGGCGATATTAGTCTTGTAAATATCAAGTCTCAAGTTCGAATCAATACTAGGGAGAAGTTTTATTTCTTTTGCTTGAATGAAATTACCATTTTTGCCCTTTTTACAGTAATTAAAAAAAATTGCGTGAGGCAGAAACACGTATATTTTGCAGCAAACTGAGTCGGTTTACAGAGAAGGGAGAGAGAAATAAAAATCTGTGTGGATCAGTGTTCTATTCCAGTGTCGACTTCTCCAGAAACCACATAGAGAGAGTGTGTGTTTTGATCTCCAGTCTCTTCTATCTGTGCTGCTGTCAGCAACTGTTCTCCATCATCACATTGTCGCTGGCATAGGTCTCGAGCTACCACAACTTTACTACCGTTCCTCTTCCTTTATTTCTTGGTATGGAATTACTCAAGCCTTCTACTGTTCTCTTCTTTGGCACCTTGCGTCATTGGTATGGGAGGAGTTGAGATGCTGAAGAAGGAAGATTCAGCTCGCATGTCCTTCCCTCCTTAGTTTATTTGTGAGCCTCGTCACCTTCTTCACTGCTTTGCGCCCTTATTTCTGTTGCTCCCTGTTTCTATTTTTTTTTCTTCTCTGCTGTGCCATCCGTGTCGTTATAAGCTAAGAAAACACAAAGTATCAAGAATGGGGTGGGGCTGTTGCGGTGAGCTAGTATTGGTACTATAGAGTCAAGCATCCTTCCTTTGCTGTGCATGGTGACAGTACCATTTGTCTTCTCCCCTGTTCAGCTGAAAACCCAACCTCTCTGTTTTTTTTCTCTCTTGGTCTGTGGTGTTGATAAGGACGTGTGGAAGAAGAGGATCCCGATAGAAATTGAAGAAAGAAATTTTGGCAGTTCAAAACTTCCACAAGTGAATAGCATTCCTTTTAATTTATTTTTATTGGTATTTTTATTTTTAATAAATTTTCATTGAGATAATTTATTCTTGTGAATTATATTAGTTTTGAAACTTTGTGATATCGATGTGAGATGTTTAAAGGAGGATATATGAATTTATTTCCTCAAGGAATATGTTTCAAAGAGTTATGGAATTATTTGGTTTATTAAACTCTTGAAATCCTTGATTATTTAGATACCGTAAGCTCGTATATTATTTTATGAAAGACTATTTTCAACAGGTCTTAAATTGAAATTTCAAGCGGTGCATGCGAGTATGGTATTGAAAATGCAGATTATATTTCAGAAATAATTATTTTTCTTACATGTTTAAAATACAATTTTTGAGAGGACTCTAAACAAAACACTGCTGCTAACGGCAGTTCCGTTAACCTGTAATGTTGTGGTTAAATACTAGCTAATTTGTTTTGTGAGTTTTATTCTCATGTTTAGTATTCGTGGGCTTTGTACTCGCGTTTGATTTCATGGCCTGAGCTGCGTTTGGTTACTTACCCTTATGGGCTGTGTGTCCACGTTTGTTTCGTAGCTTCGGCTGCGTTTGGTTACTTACCTTCGTGGACTGGTGTGTCCACGTTTGTTCTCGTGGTATAAGCTACGTTTAGTTATTTATCCTCATAGACTGAGTGTCCACGTTTGTAACCTATTCTGTTGAGTTCTCAAAATGTTAAATGTTAATTAATATGTGTTTTCAAAATTTACCTGATTTTGACTAGTAATTTGTATCACTTTAAGTTATATGAGAGCAAATTGTTTTCTTTAAGCATGATATCATAAATTATTTTTAATTTACTCTTATTTTACAAATATGATTATGACTTACGGGAATGTGAAAGTAGTTCACACCCGTGCCGATCACCCTCTATTTTTAGGGCGTGACAAATATACTATCTCTTTCCAATATTTCTCACCATATTCAGCATAATGAATTCATCTGTATATATCCCACGCATGAATCATGATGCTTAAATCATTCTTTAAACATAAAGTCAACATTTTCAATATGGCAAATATGTAACATCCTAAAAAAAATTAACTTAAGGTTAATGGGGTAATTAAGGACAATTTAGACAATTGAGAGTTAACTCATATTGAAAGATAATGCACGGATGACTAATGGGTTTATCAAACCCTAATTAGGGTATAGAATTGGATCTTAGGTGGTATTAGGCCACATTTAGGCCCAATTAGATGAACCAGGTTTGGAATCTGAATTTTTGGTCTTTGGCCACAGCCAAAGGTTTATTGGTTGTAGCTAAAACTCAATTTTTAAGCCTTCAAACCTGCATTTTGGCTCAAAAAATTAGAGAGTTAAGTGGGAGTCCCAAGGTGAACGAGGAAAGCTCTGTTAGGGTTTGTTGTCGGTATCCAATTGAGGTTATTTGAAGCTTCTAATCACTTGAGTAAGTGCCTACAACCTCTTCTCTTCCTCTCTTGTGCACTTTCATCATTGTTTTTGGGTAGTTCTTTAAAATTCCGAAAATGAGTTGTGATTTTTCTTAGAATTCTAACTTCAAAGGGATTGATAGGTGTTTATTTAAGTGTCTAGCCCTTGGGTTATAGTTATAATGATGTTTTAGGATTTTAAAGTGAGGTTTGAAGTAAACCCTAGAGCTAATTAGTTGAGCTAAGAAGGTTATGAGTTATTAATGGTGTTAATTAGACTAATGAGAGTCTAAGTAAACTAATGGAACCTAAAAATAGATTTGGTTGTGGGTAAATGACTATAATGGGATTTTTAAGTTTAGGCATTGATTATAGTTAGTTAAAAATAATTAGTCATTAATGACTATTGATGTGTTTAATTATAGATTAACCATTGTTGGTGCTATTGAGTTTACTAGAGGTTCCATTTGATATTCGCAGGTACTCTTGGTTGGTAAACCAAAAGTTGAGGTAATCGAGAATTTAAGTATAGTATATCATTGTGATTGTATTTACACTTTAAGCATTATTATGGATGGCTTGAAATGAGCTTATGAAAGAATATATTGATTTTGAACTATTACCCAAATATGAAACATGACTCATTATGATGAAGTGTTTAGTGATTATATTTATATAAATGCTATGTGATATTGTAACATGAGAGATTAAGCCTAGATTGCCTATAAGACAAATGTGTTAGTATGATGAGTGATTGTAACTGATGATATTTGAAGAATTGTGAAAAGCATGCTTGAATTTAGATTCGCATATTGTCATGCCCCGAAAATAGAGGG